CCGGGGGTCTCAGGGACAGGGCTCACCCTCAACGAGGATGCGCGCGGAGTCGAAGCACTCCCCAAAGGGGTTCTTGACAGAGACAGTGTAGCGGCCCAGGTCGGCCAGGCCGCCGTCCCGCACCACCAGAGCCACGATGTCAGGGTCCTCGAAGATGTAGCGGTGCTTGGGGCCATCTTTCAGCTCCACCCCGTCCTTGGACCAGCGGATGAAGGGGTCGGGGAAGGCGCTGATGCGGCAGGACAGCTTGGCTGCACTGCCCTCGATCAGCATTGTGTCCTTCAGCCCCTCCAGCACTCGCGGCGGCCCCTTCTCCTTCAGCTCCTTGCGGGACCAGGGGGCACAGGCTCCCTTGGCCGCGGCTGCATCCCCCACCTGCCCACCCGCCCCTGCCTGGGCCTTGCCACCCCAGGGCTGGCACCGACCCCCTCCCAGGTCCAGCTGAGCCCCCGCGCCCCTGACCTGTGTCCACGGTAGGACGCCTGGATGCGGATGGCTGCATTCTGCCCCTGCGGGTCGTTGATGTCGAGGCTGAAGCCCGGGGGGGCTGGTGTGGCCCCTTTCTTCGGGCCCGGCTTGGCTGCTGGGGGGGCTGCCTTGGGGGCCGGGGGGGCTGCCTTGGGAGCAGCCTTGGACATCTGGGGGGAGCAAGATCAGTGCCTGCGCGGAGACCCCCCTGGGCCCCCTTCCCTGGCACAGAGGGCTCAGACCCCCTTCCACTACATGGGGGGCCCAGACCCCCAGCCCTGGCCCTCGAGCACAGCCCCTCTGCTCCCCATCCCAGACCCCTGCGCTGGGCAGGGTGCAATGTGCAGCTCCAAGCACAGCTGGGGCCCGAGCCCGTGGCTTCTCAGGGGGCTGCAGCTCCTGCCCTGGCTCAGGGCTGGCCATACTAGGGGGAACGGGGCAGCCTCCACTGCCCCTAGAGCCTGCCCAGGCTCATCACCGACGTGGCGCAGAGGAACCCAGGCGTCCAGGCTTCCAGCTGCCCCAGGCCTGCGGGCCCGAGCCCAGCTCCCAGGCCAGCACGGGCCCCAGGCCCCAGGCAGGCGTGTGGGGTGCTCAGACCGGGCTGGGCCAGGGGCACTTACCTTGGGGGTGCTCACAGCCGCTGCGTCTGCTCCGGGGTGCAGGGCACTGGCGGGGCCCATCACGCCCAGCTTTATACCCCGGGCAGGCGAGGCGCGGGGGCCTCGGGGGTGGCCAGCCCGCGCCCCAACCACATTCCTGCCCAGACCTGTCCTTCTTTGGGCAGTCCCGGCCCCCCCGGGCCACGCTGCGCCCCGCGCCTGTGGCCGGCCAGGCCCTGGCAGCCTTATATAGCCTGTGCGTGCGGTACCTGGGAGAATTGGGGCAGGGCCGATTGCAGCCCCGTGCTGGCTAATCACATACGTGGGGCCCGTGGGGACCGGAGCAGCAGCTGGGCCGCGCCGCCATGCCGCTACCCCCCGCCCCGGCTGTGCTGTGTGGGGGGGAGGGAGCAGGCCTGGGGCTGCGGGTCAGGAGTGAGGAGCACCCGTGCCTGCCTCCATGCTGGTGCTGCCCCGCGGCAGGTGCACAGCTCCATCACGGGCCAGGCCCAGGGCAGGGGCCAGGGCCCTCAAAGGACAAGGCTTGGCAGGGGTGGGCAGCAAGCAGCCGGTGGGTGGGGTCCCTCTGCCCGCATAGCTGCCCTAGTGCCAGCCCCAGAGCTGGGGGGAGCTGCCCCCCTCCCACCCCTGCTCCACCCACCAGCCTCTGGGGGGTAAAGTCTGGCTTTATGCAAATGAGCCCTCATGCATATTGATACAGAGCTCTTGGATCGGCCCAGGGGGGGCAATCTCTGGCCCCAGGGCCGAGCCCACAGGCCTGCTGTCCCGGGAGGGGGTGTGGGAGCGCTGGACCGGATCCTCAGAGCCTGACCCACAGCCCTGCCCTGGCAGGCGGGGGCACGTCTCATTGCCCCTCCCCCCCGCCCTGGCGCACGGACTCCCAGGCCCAGGCCCCCGCTGCCTGAGCCCCGCCCCGGGGGCCCT